ACTTTTTATTTTACACTTTTGCAACGGAAGGTGACCTATAGCACAGGCACACTCAACTGGAAAGACACAACAACTTCTATTTCCTACCGCCCAGCACAAGTTCTCGTTTCCTCACTGGCTGAGCACTCCAGGGCTTACAGCCTATGCCACACTTCTGATTTTCTTATTACATGTCCTGCCACTGTTTACTGCTTGGTTACCTACTCTCTGTTCCCCTCCTATTCGTGTTTAGCTTTTCCCTGTTATGATATGCTGAGATAACCTTCTCATAGTTAACCCTGCCCTCTGTCTACCATTCATCCTGCAGAACAGATCTGCTCCAGTACATTTCCTGATGTTACTCAAGAATGCAGACCTCCTATTCTTTAAGCTCAGTCACAGGCAGGAACTTGTCAGTATTATGAGTCCTTAGATACATCTCTTTGATTGCACAAGCTTCGTTCTGGTGTCATTCCAAAAAAACATTTCCTTTCCCACAGTTCCCCCTCTTTCTATTTACACAATTGTTGATTCTTGCAAAATTCAGTAAGGTATAGTCCTCTATGTAGCTTTTAGTGTCAATAGCATCATTTCACATTTCTCTTCTGAAGACATGTCGTCCTGATCACCATCTCCTACTTTTTCCCTTAAAGACAACACTTTGTCTGAATACAGTGACAGCCCTACAGCATCTGCTTTGATAGGGTGGTTATGATTAGACACTGGACCAATCCTCTAACACAGGGGATAATACAACATCTGACTGCTGTCAGAACTCCTGCTACCACAATTAAAGATGTAAGTATGGATACCACCACTCCTTTCCATTTACTGAACCAAGATTCCAACCACCTAGTAAGTGAAGTGTCTATTCCTGAGTCCTCTGCATCGGCCAGCGAGTCCTTGCAGTGCCCTGGTTATGGAGAAATTCGGGGCTGTGTTGTTGGGAATAAAGGTGCAGTAGTAGTTGCCCATCATTACGCACACCCGCCCCTTTTCAGCCCTTCATAATGTCTAATGCTATCCTATTTTCCCACGTCATCCTACCAGTGGCACCTAATTGTTCTGCAATCCCTTCAATAGCATCCTTTTTATGAACCTCTGCTGACTGTGGTAAATAAAATTGATCCAATCTACATTCTTATTAATGGTTATCCACCAAAATAGTGAGGACTCAGACCTGGCCACAGTCTGGTTCCTTACTTTATGTTCATCAGGGATTCCTTTAGGTACCCCAATAGAATTTATATATATCCTTCTGTCAGATGATATTCCTAAACTTCTCCTATTTCTCCTAGGAGTACAGGGGCTTTCTTTTTCAAATGGCAGGGTGAATGGGATGGCTAAACGTATAAGTCCACAGGTGCCCTCCAAGTTAGAGGGTAAGGTGGACTGTAGGGCTTTCCTTCTGCAACACCACCGATCTGCCCTGGGGATTCTCAACCTCAAATAGTTCCATTCAAAATCCTCATAGAGAGTTTCATTGCAAAGACACATTCGCCCAAGGGCCTGGTAACATTCACACCCTGCTGAGAGAGACAAACTGTATGCTGACCAATGGCTGTGGAGAATACAGGGGGAAATGTGGTATCACTGCTATGGAGGGAAGGGCAGAAGAGAGAGGAAGACTTGCAAGTCTCATTTCCCCAGGCAGTTTTCTCCTGATAGAGTGCAATCATGTGTTCCATTCCTCGGAGATCCCTAGTCTCTCCCAATGGAAAGGGGACCACCTGTGCAGTTGGTTGCCCCGAGGTGCAAGCATAACACTTGCTATGATTGAGACTCTGGATGGTATATTTTACCCATTCTACCCAGGCATTAGGGTCCCCATATCCTGCTTCTACCTGAAACATGTCAGAGATCTTTTATTTCCTTAACAGTTACAATGGAGTTATTGAGATGACTTTTTTCCCTATCTACAGGGTCTTTCTCCTCCTTGTAATATTAGTAATGTTGGGTTATGGTTCCTATACTGCTAGCCTAAATCTCACCACTAGGTCCATCCCTGTCACATCTCCTCCCAAACCATAAGTGTGGCCAACGAGTTGTCAGCCTTTCTAATCATTATCATTATCGGATTACACTGCAGGGCAATTTGGCTGAGCAAACCCTTAAAATATGCTGACTTGATTTTTCAAAGCTTCAATAGAGTTGGATGAACTTGGTGAGTAAATCCATCCATTATAGGTGGTGGTCCACCACATATTACTCTATCCAGGACATGGTGGTCCCCTATATACCCATTCCAGATTCTCAGGGCAGAGGTATTTAATCTCGCTAGTTAGTTGTAACTGAGCCTCCAGGTCTCCACAGGCTAACACCTGACAAGTATCAAACTGAATATTCTGGGGTACCTCGGTCTTGATTACATTCACCTATAATTTCACAGGGTATCCTGATCATCCTCCTCCCAACCTATGCCCTCGATTCCTCTTAGAGTGGTCATCACCACCACTAATACCACGATTTGGCCCCTTCTTAACATGTTGCCAATAGCTGGGGCTAGGAGACAGACAAGGGCATTTTTCTTACAAAGACTTGTAGGGGATCACCAGTGGTTTGAACATGACAGTCCCCTCAGTCTGAAGGTGGGTCAATTGGCTGTTTAACTCGTGTATAACAAGTCCATCCTTTTTCAGTGGTTCAAACAGCAGTCTCTGTGATCAGCAGAACTTGGAAGAGTCCATTCCACTCAGGTTGGAGCTTGGCTTCTCTCCAAGTCTGGATCAATACTGAGTCTTTGGATTGAAACCTATGAACAACAGACTCTAGTGGTGGGGTCTGAGCCAATAGCCCCTGGTTCCTGAGGAGGGATAAAGAGGAAGACAGCCAGGTGGGGTAGCCCAAAGAGCATTTCATATGGTGAGACTCCCACATTTTTCCATGCAGCCATTCCGACCCTCACAGTGCTAAGGGCAAGCATTCAGTCCATGGTAGCACAGTTTCTAACACTAGTTTAGATAATTGTTATTTTAGATCTGATTCATTTTTTCTACTTTCTCAGTTAATGATGGGTGCCAGGGGGTACGGAATTCCCAACATATGCTTAATTCTGTCATTAAATTCTGTAAAACTCCGGAAGTAATGTGACTTTCTCAGTCAGAATCTTGGTTCTCGTCAATCCCATATCTGGGAATTATCTGTTCCAAAAAGATTTTAGCCACTACTGTGGCTTTAGTGGAGTTGAAAGGAAAAGCTTCTGCCCAACCTGTTAGGTGGTCCACCATCACCCTTCCCACTGTGCAGAACTGGGTGAAGTCGATCTGAACACTTTGGAACAGTCTTAGCCCTGGGTTTCACCTACCCAGGGGTTGGTTCCACAGGGCTTTCTTATGAATCTTCTTACAAATCACACACCTGTCACAGACTTGTTTGACTACTGCAAAAATTTCTATACACCCATACTTTCGCAATACGGCACCACACGTCATCCGAACCCCCCTGTGATCTCCTGGATGTAAGATGGCTACAATTTCCCTCATCACTTGTTTATTCACCATCAGGGACTATTCACCTTCCTTCAGACTCCTTTGCTACCAACCCTTTAAGAGCCTCCTTTTCATTGAATGTCCATCTTCCTGTAGGAGAGGGTATCTCAAGTGTGAAATGATTCGCTGTGATTTCTGGCTGCTTCTTGGGCCCTTTCACCTGCTAGTAGATTCCCCAGCACAATGACCAGGTTCCCCTTCTGATGTCCTTTCACACAAATCACTGCAATTTCTGCAGGTAGCATTATTTTCCAGGATCTACCTAATGAGCTCCTTGTTGGCCAGTTCCTTCCCCTTACTGTTAACCAGCACATGCCCCTCCCAAATTTTTCAGAATGTATGGGCAACCAGCCCATTTCTTTTAGCTCATTAATCCTCCCATCAACAATCATTGTACCTCTTCCCCTGCACCATTCTTGAGGATCCATCTATAAGAAAACAATTCCTCTTTGCCAAGGGGTACATCCTCTAAATAAAGTTCTCACTTCAGTTTGGTATTCTATCAGCTCCAGGCAGTTACGCTCTATGTCTGACTTATTCTTTTCACCCTTCCACAGGAAGGTAGGTGGATTCAAACACGATTCCTCGGGTAAGGACAAATCACCTTTCACTATCAATCTGCACACCCAAGCCCCATCTGATCCATATTCTGGCCAGAATACATGCTGCCCTAAAACAAGTTCCTCTGTCCAAACAAAAAACACAGTCATGAATCATTTTTCCTTCATCTTTTCCCCAGTCACCGGATTTTCCTCCCAGTGTCTCTGCATCCTTCCCAAAGGCTATCGGAGGAAAGTTTCCCGGGGCTTTTCTTCCCCTCTCCCGAGGCCCAGTATTATTACTCCCCATAACTCCCCAGCCTTCTCTTTCGATCCAAGTCTAAATCTTCACCCTTCTCAGGCCGTGTCCCTCGCAGGGTAACGGAATCACAGATCCAGGCTGCTCGCTCCCTTCACATACAGTGCGTCCCGTTCACTTTCTCTCAAGAGCCTCCCAGGCACGCAGTAACACCTCCCGGCCCTTACCTTGCTCCGTGACCAGAGGGATGCAGCAGCTCGCACGTCCTGCCGCCCAGCACAAGTTCTGTCTCCTCGCAGCCCATCCCATTCCGACTTATTACACATCCCGCCCCCGGTTACCGTCCCGCTCTCTGCTCGCGCTCAGCTCCTCCCTGCTGTGTGCGCTGCGCTCGCTGCTCGCGCCCAGCCCTCCCTGCCTGCCGCTCACCCCGCAGATCCGACCCGCTCTAACGCGTCTCCCGATGTTACACAAGAACGCAGTTCTTTAAGCTCGGCCCCGAGCCGCAACCTGTCGGTACGACGATCCCTCAGGCACTGGTGTCGCTACGCAAAAACGACATTCGCTGTCCCACAGCTCCCACAGCAGCGGGACGGGAGCCCCGCAGCGCCCGCCGCCCGGCAGCACGCGGCGCCGCGCCCGGCCCAGCGCAGGGCGTCCGTAGTTCCCGAGCGCTGTCGGGAGCGGCGGCGGCGGCGCGGGGCCTTCTGGGAAGCGTAGTCCGCCCGGCCGGGCCCCGCATTGCCGCCCCGTTCTACGGCGCCGCCCGCGAACTACAGCCGGCGGCGGGCCGGCTCTGCCCGCGAGGATGGCGGCTCCCTTGGTGCTGGTGGTCCTGGCGGCCGTGACGGTGCGGGCCGCGCTGTATCGCTCCAGCTTCGCCGCCTTCATCGCCGAGCGGGTCGAGGTGGCGTCGCCGCTGAACGCCTGGAAGCGAGGTGAGGCTCCGCGCCGGGCTCCGCGGGCGGCTGGGCGGGCCGAGGCCGGCGGGCGGGCGGGCAGCTGCCGGGGCGCGGAGTCCGGAGCGGGGCTGGGGCGGCCCTGCGTGGGCAGGGAGGAGATGGGAGAGCGCCGGCAGCCGTCCCTGAGCCGCCTCCTTGCGCTGTGACCGTGCGGGCGCCGTGCCGTGCCGCGAACCGGGCCGTTCCGGCGTTGCTGCTCGCTGTTCCGTTCTGTGTTCGCTCGTGGCCTCACCTTGTTACCAACTCCGGATCCAAACCCTGTCCGAAGGCCGAGCTGCGATGTAACAAGGCTTTTCTGTGGCATGCATCATCACGGCATCTGAGCCCGGTGCAAAGCATAAAGACTGCCCGTGGGAGATAACGTCCGGGTACCATGCAGGTGAAATTACCTGCAGGTTTGGGGCAGCGTACAGAGGCACAGCGTAATAAAGCCAAAAAGCGTGAATGCTTTTGATGATCTGTAAAGCGCTTCATAGGTTCAAAACGCAGCTCCCCAGACTGCCCTTGCAGCAATGGATTCCTTCTAAAGCCCACTTAGAGCATCAGATTGTGCCTCCAGCCAGGAAGGAGCCCTGTCCGAGGGGCCTGGGCTGGAGGGCAGAAATGGAATCTACTTCTCAAGCGTATGATGATCCAAAAGCCTCTTCTTGCTTCCTGTTACTCTGTTTCATTTCTCCATCTAGTTTTGTTCATTTGAGGCCTCTACATATGATGAGGCAGCGTAGTTCAAATTGCACTTCAAGCCTCTCAGGGAGGCTTGAAATTATCAGCGTACCCTGGGAATCCACTCTGGAGGGTCCAGGTGCCCACCAGAACTGAATGCCTCTCCAAAATCACCTTTTAAAAACAGGCTATCCCACTGTGTGACATGCAGGTGGGGCAGAGGGCTGCCTGGCTGAACGGGGAGCTCCTGGAACAGGGAAGGAAGAGAAAGTACACAACCTCTGGAAGAAAGTTTGGCTCCACAGGGAGAGTACAGAGCTGCAGTTCACATCTGCAAAGAGAAAATGAAGAAAAACAAAGCTCAACTTGAGTTGATGTTGGCCAGTGTGGTGTCAGACAACAGAAAAGGCTCTTTTATATGTGTCAGCAGCAAGATGACATTTAAGGAAAGCGCTGGACTGATACTTGATGAAGGTGGTCACTTAATGAGTAGGCGTGAGGAAAAGGTGGAGGCATTTAATGCTGTGGAAACAGTGGCTTTCCATTTGTAATGACTAAAAGGGTGCACTTGTATCAGCAGAATGTTCAAAAGTCTGTGTGGCCTGCCAGGAGTGAGCCCAGAGTGCTGAGGGGTGTTACTGTGGGACTCCTCCCAGCAATTTACCAAAGGTACTGGGAGTGTGGGGACTGTGGTCAAAGACAGCCAACACCACACCCACCCACCAGAAGGACACGAGGGAAGAGCTGGGGCCCTCCAGACCTGTCAGTCCAGGGAGAAGTAATGGAGAAGACTGTCCTGGGGGATACTGAAGGCATTTAAGAACAAAGCTGGTATCAGGCACAGTCTGCAGGTGCTCATGAAGGGGGAGTCCTGCCTTATAATTTGGTCTCCTTCCATGACAAGGTCACCTGCTTGGCGGATGAAGGGGAGGCAGTGGAGGCAGTTTCTCTGGATTTCAGTGAGGCCTTTGTTGCTGTCCCTCACGGCGTCCTTGGACAGATCGTCCAACTGTGTGACAAACGGCTCCGTGCTGCACTGGGTGATGAACTGGCTGTGTGGTAGGGCTCTGAGGGCTGTTGGCAATGGGGCTACACCTGCCTGTGGCCAGTCACTAGTGCTGTCCTCTGGGCCCAACTTTGGGGTCAGTCTTATTCATACAGTTCTGTCGGTGACCTGGGTGTGGAGTGCATCCTCAGCACGGCTGCTGATGGCACTGGACTGAGAGGTTGCTGGCTCCCTGGAGGGACGAGCAGCCTTGCAGGGGATGTGGATAAGTGGGAGCATCGGACAGTCACCACGTGACGTTTGGCAAAGGGAAGTGCTGTGTTGTGCAGTCAGGACAGAGCAGTGAAGACACAGGCACTGGGAGCCAGTGACTGGTGCAGCTCAGCAGAAGGGGCTGGAGACACTGGTGGCAGCACACACAGAGGGAGCCAGCAGTGTGCCCTGTTTCTATTTCCCAGTCAGCAAGCTAAGTTCAACCGCATCTTGGGAACCAGGTCCTTAATGTGCATAATGGCTGTTCAGGTGGACAGACATTTTCTTAATGAGAACCCCCCTTCTTCCCTTTTCCAGCTCCTGTCACTGTGTGTAGCATCACACAGTGTGCAGTATCCCTTCAGTTGAGGTCAGTGCCCCAGCAACGTCCCCTCTCCACCTTTTGCCCACCCCCGGCCTGCTAGCTTTCGGAGCTGTGGAGTTGATGCTGTGCCAGTGCTGCTCGACAAGAGCAAAATGCCAGTGCTGTATCAGCACTGTTCTAGTGGCAAGTGCAGAGCACAGTGCTGCACGGCGGCTGGGAGCAGCAAACCCCTCCCTGCTGGGCCCAGCACAAGGGATCAGGCTGTTGGACTCGATGATAACTGTAGGTCTCTTCCACCTGAACTCTTCTACTCTTCCAAGTTTTCAGTCAGAATTATTTCTCCAGTGTAGATACCACATGTTACATAATAGGTGACTTAAAATCAGTAAATACACGTGATTTATAAATACAGATAACTGCAAAACATTTCGTCTGTAACATCTCAAGTTGTCTGAAACAAATGGCAGGACTGCATAGCAGAAGTTAGAAAGCAATCAATTCTAGCTGATGGTTGCTTGTGTGAGATTCTGTGTCTCCCTTCAGATGGTGATTCAGTGTGAGATTTTTATGAGCATAGGTGTTTTGAAAACTATAGTTTTATTGCCACCAGATTTTTCTCTCTTCCAGCATTGCAAGATTCTAATGCAGATTTTTTTTATGTTTCAGTGGTTGAAGGATTAGCTCTGCTGGATTTAGGGGTCTCACCGTATTCTGGAGCTATTTTTCATGAGGTTGGTATGCATGCTTTGTTTTAAACATGATATTCCAGCAGCACGTTTCTTAGTCTTACTGCATGTGGATTGGCAAAGGATGATGGACTTATCTTCTCCCAAAGATTTTAGAAAATGTGGAGTTGTGTCTATGCAAGAGTTCCACGCAGTGACCAGCACAGTGAGGAAATGCAGCTTATAGTTCTCAGGACAACTCTTGAGAGAAAATGATAGACACTGTGGTACTTGTGGTGCATAAGGGGAGTCCAGAATAGGGGAAATCTCTAAGAAATAAAATGCTTTGTTCACATCCACAGTTGCTGTGAGTAGAAGAGGCAGGAGCAGGGAGATACCGTGCTGCTGGCAATTGGAATGCAATTCTGCTGAATAGCAGCATCTTGGGTCCGAGCACAGTCATGCAGCTTGTTTATTCCTCATTTTGGAAAGCACATTGTTCCTCCAGAGGCTTTTGTGCCCTTGAATGGCATTATTGATATGAACATACACTTACACGTAGTGTCACCTATGTGTGTCTCACGCTTTGGGTGTCTCTGAAAATTCGTTTCTTTTCAATAAATTCTTTCTGAAACAGTTTTCTCCCAGACTATGAAGTATTTATGAGTGCTTAGTTATACCATCACATTATGTTAAAAGTATTTTAAAAAAATTATATTTTCTCACAGTGAAGACCAAATTTCACACCATGTGAACGTAATACCTCCAGATTAAGCTTTTCTGTCAAAGGAATAATTCAGAAACCTTCCCCCCCGACTTACTCTGGAGCTACGGGGGTATGAGAATAACAGGACCACTGCTTTGTTTTCACATGGTTTCTTTTTACTCCATAAATAGCTCGCCTAACCAACAGGCTGAGCAGGGTGACCAGCTGCGTAGGAAATGCTTTCAAAAGACATGCAAACAACCTGAGAGAAAGAGATTCTCTAAAAAAAGAAAAAAAAAAAAAAAAGATTTTCTGAAACTTTTGTTTTTATAGTTCTGTTGTAGCTCTACCACCGTGCTAGTAGAATTGAAACTTTGGAATAGAATATCATTTTCCAAGTTTACGTGTCTTTTATAAAATGTATTGAGAACTTTGCAAAAGAAAAGATTCAGTAAATTGTGGTTTGATTATCACTTCACTCCAAAGTAACAGCTTGGGGGAAGAGGCTGAGGAAGGTCAGCTTTTGCAATCTCTCACAGTGTTGCTTTGTTTTTCTCCTCAAATTTCGGGTTGGTTTGTCCGAATGGAGGTGTGCACTATTTGACATGGATTTCTCTTCTGCTCTCTCTTAGACCCCATTGATAATATATCTCTTCCACTTCCTGATTGAATATGCTGAATTGGTCTTCATGGTGAGTGCTCCTGGAAACTCCTGGACTCTTGAAAGGTCCCATTCTGTGAAATGCTGAGCGTGGCGTTCCTTTTACTCCTGCAAGAATCAGGGACCCTGTAGTCCGAATTCCTGCTGACCTCACAGTTTGATTATAAAGGCAGCTTTGCATGTACAAAGCGAAGTTCAGGCTTTTCCCTTGCTCTACAAATTCTTTTTTTTCTTCCTTTTTCTCTGTTTGTTAGTCCTTGGCTAGTTAAATATCCCCTCAGTGGGACAGGACCTTGACATTTGGTTTCAGATTTCAAAGTTTACCTCTTACAGGTCAACCCCTGTGTTGCCATGTTTCTCATTAAAACCCACTGCTGAACTCCAGGGCCGTATAGAGAACAGAGATGGCTCAGCAATCCAAATGTCCCTTGTTGTAAGCTAATCTGTGAGTTCTGTGTAATTCAGTAGGACAGAAATCATATAGCTGGTTGCACATACCACCTGGTGGAGCCTCTCTCCCCAGCTCCCCACTGGCAGATGTCTAACAGGGCTAGCAGCCATCTGGGTTGTTCTTACACCAATTCTTCACTACTGCTTCCTGTGAAGTGCAGGACAGCTAAAGGCACTGTCAGGCTGGATTAATGGCAGGTGGATTTAGCCAGCTGGGCACTGTCCTGGTGTTGCCCATGCCCTGATAAACCGATTAATTTTCTATTATCCCTGCAATTCTCCATTCTGTTGTTCTGCAAATATTAATGTCTTTGATACATCCCATGGCTTCTGTTTTCATTGGTGGTGTGTGAACACAGCATACAGATCAGCAAGCTAGTTGGCATTTTTAAAGCTTGTTTATCTATTAATCAAGTCAGATCAGAGCCCTTACTCAAGTTTGCAGAAGTATCCAATATGTTTTCCTTCATTCACTTGTTTTACTTGATTTGCTTTTTTAGATAACGGATGTACTAACAGCTGTTGCCCTTTACTTGGCCATCCAGGACTACAACAAAGTTGTGGTAAGCTGACTTGCCAGTGTTGCAGGTCCTCTTCTCCCAACAAGTACAAATATCTTGTGCCAGAGCGAACTTGTGCCATAGGATGCAGTATCAACCAGCCCTCGTTACCAAGCAGATTTACTCACTTAGCAGTAAATCTGAGCACATCCATTGGATATATTAAAAAACCCAACAACTCAGGAACTGAATGTGGTAAACCAGCTAAAGTACTTTAAATTCTGTTGTGTGCATATTATAGGGTGAAGCAGATTAGTTTCCATAGCTATTGCACAGTACGTGAATGATGATTGCTGCAGTATTGATTCTTTAATCTGAAAGAAATTAAAATAATTTAAAAATTCCTCAGAATACAATATCCAAAGAAATGCTGATCTCTCCAGCGTTGTGATACCCAAGAGCGGTGTGAGAATGTAAAATGTATACTGAAAATTCACCTTTGGTTGTTGCAGCAGTTTGAAGTGTGCAGAATTTAGTTGTTGAACTGTTGATTTGTCCAACCGCTGCCACAATCTTCCATACATTTTGTAGCTAGAAAATGGAATGTTTTATCCTGAACTTACCTTCAAGATAAAACATTGCTTGTGTTTTCACTCAGCATGAGTTAATAGACAGACTAAAGAAGTGTAAAGGAAGGACCAAATTTTTGAAGAATGCTGAGGAGACATATGTCGTTCTGCAGAGCAAGATGAAAGTTCAATACCAAACATGACTTGTTCTCTTATGTATTATTCTACTGTATTTTTCTCTTACCTATTTTTGGGGGTGAATGATTTCTCCCAGCTTCCTCTAATTGTGTAAACAGTGCTGTTCTCCCTGTGGTCCCAGCGGGGCAGTGGTAGAGCACTAACGTGAACAAGGAGGCTGCATTTTCCACAACACTGTGTGGTCTCCCATCCAGCTCAGTGCCTGTTCTTTGTCCTCTGAGGTTGAAGAAATAACACGATAGAACTGCTGACATGTAAAAATCCCATGTGAGTTATTTCACTTGTTGAGAATTTATTGTCAGTATCCCTCTCTATTTGTCTCACCACAACATAGTTCAGTAAGCTTATAATTCAGATTTCTCCTTTGTCTCCATCAAGAGCATCAAAAGACAAGGTATGTTAAAGAGAGAGGTTTGGGATCTCTGAAGGAAGTTTGACATGAGATATTTGTCTTCGAAATAACGAGGATGGCATAGTTCTGTGTCTTGATTTCTCTGGGGCTTGTGTATTGAACAGTGAGTTTACAAAGTCAACTCATGTATGTTCTGTAGTAATGGAAATCCTAAGTAGTACGAAACAATTGCTTTCCTCACCTGACAGCCTTTGGTCATTCTCCCTTGTTCAGTTCAAAAAGCAAAAGCTTCTGATAGAGCTGGATAAATATGCACCAGATGTGGCTGAGCTCATCCGGACGCCCATGGAAATGCACTACATCCCCCTCAAGGTAGCACTGGTGTAAGTATTGTTTCCTTCTGATTGCAGTGTGCTGCTTTGATTCTTCTGCTCTCCATGGATTTTTTTTTCCAATTCAGGACTTCCACATTTGCTGAAGATTTTTTTTCTCGTAAAATCTTGCATTTCCTATTCCACATAAAATTCCCAAATACTTGATTTTAAAGTGAATGCTTTCCTGAATGTATGGTGCCAACAAGCAGATTTATGCAGTCCACTCAGCAGCATGAGGTCAGTAATTGGTGTGAAGAGCCTTGTGTCTCCATAGGTGACATTCCCATTTATTTTGTCAGTACACTGCTATAGTCAGAGCTGATTCTATGCCAGATATCTCAGATGTCTCTTCAGTCAGGAGAATTTGGCTGCACTTAAACAAGATGTTTTCTGGTATTTCAAGTCTCATTTCCCAGAATTGTATGTAATATTCAAAGACATTCCAGGTTGTCAGTTTAGTAATGTCATGTGTTGGTGTTCCTCTGTATTTTAAATGTGTTTTGATCTCAGAAAGCTTCAATTAAAATACATAATATACAAGCAAGATATATAATTTTTTTTTCATTAGGATTTTGACCTAAGTAAATCATTGTCTTAAGTTATTCTGTGTCAGAGTTTTCTGTAAGAAAAGTTATTTTTTCTTATATGAATGTTGTAAATTTTCTAGGGTGAGGAAGGTAGAATTTTGCCTTTCACATTTGTAAACCGCAGGCTGCTCTGTATTTATCCATCACATTGGTGCACATAGGAATGCTGTCATTAAATTACACGTTGTGCTGTGGCCTGTCTGTCTCTGGGAACATGGGCAAAAAGCGAGCTGGCACTCAGGGGTAGGAGTAAGGTTTATGTGAGAAGGCAATTAGGAAGTCATCAGCCTTGTCCGCTTATTAATGTGACTGATGTAGTTGTTACTAAGGAGGAACATCCCATTATCTTGCTTATTGTATTGCTAAGGCTTCCAAACGTGTTTCTGGGCTTTGAACCTAGCTAATGGAGAACTTTGTATAGACCACTCCCAGTAGAAGCTGGCATCATTAAAGTGCAGCTGCATTCTGGAAGGTAAAGGCGTTCAGGGCTCACTGTCTTTCTGTAACTGCAGTTAAAATGGGCTGGATTTCATGGCTGGCAGCTTTTGTGCTCTGATTATGCCATGGTGAGCCTACATGGTTGCTCTGCCAGGCTGGGAGCGCATGGGTGCAAACGGTTTGAGGGAAGCTCCCTGGTCATGCACCAGAAGGATTTGTGTCTGTCTTGCTTTGTTCTTCCTTCTGTTAATTTCTCAGAGCCAGTAACTGTGAAAAGCAGAAAGCTTCAGATCCAGTGGTTCTGGGTCTGGCTGGATAAATGCACAGTCTTTCAGAAAAGCAAGGAATGTTTTTGGTGGTCATTTCATAAGACAGAATTTGGCATTTTAGAAATCTTCCCATCTCTTTTTTTTCCAGTGTGCCTTCTGCGGCCGTTGTGCCCCAGGCTGCACTGCAGAGATCTGGCTTTTGCTCCAGATAGAACCACCTGTTCACCTGAGTTAGTTTGGTGATGAGAGGAGCCCATAGCATGTAAATAAACAAAAAGAAATTGCAAACTGCATCTGGTTTTTGTTTGAATATCTCTTTAATTACCTCGTTTGAATGATGTGAATGTAACTTGAGCTTTGTCCCTTTTCAGCTATCTGTTAAACCCCTACACTGTGATGTCTTGTGTGGCAAAGTCCACCTGTGCCATCAGCAATACTGTCATTGCATTCTTCATTTTGGCTACAATAAGAGGTAACACAATAAACAAAAAGTGTTTCTTTATGTCTTTCTGTAATTATGAGAAAAGCAGTGGAAATAACATCAATGTAGAATTTTACAAAAATGATTGCTACAGATGTGTGAGTGGGACACATCGGGTCCTGGTGGGAGCAGTGTCTCAGTTCTGCCTGAACTCACAGGAGCCCAAGGTACTATAAGTCAAAACTTCCCTTCATCTCAGTGTAACTAGGAGTTTCTCCTCTAAAAACCTACCCAGTTTCCTGGATGACTTCACATGGTTTTCTGTTTATGAAAAAATCTGTCTATGCATAGAAGCACATATTGCTCTGCTACTCTTTCTTTTGTATGTGAATATGCACCTACAGCATGTACACCTTGAGCTTGTATTTGAAAACCTGCAACTACTTGGCTTCTACTTACAAATGTAACCTTGGTTTGAAATTAGCTAACTGAGCTTTGGGGAGGCAGAAACAGTAACCAAAGACTCACGCTAGCCCCATTGAATAGGTTATGGCAAAATGGCTCTTTCATTTTGTACTGGAGTGTTATGTGAGGCTTCTGTTTCTTTTGTGAACTCTCAGTGCTGAAGTATTGTAGCATATGTGATTTGTACGAGGCACGTAAGTTTTAGGAGTACATTAGGGTCACATGAAAGGTGGATCTGATCTCTTTTGTGGTCTCCAGAAGTGCCCAGAACCAGACATCACAGAGGAAATTGCTGGATTGTTTTTAGGAGTATTTCCAAAAGAAAGATTTCCTCCATTTATTAAGTCATTGAGGCAGGAGGGGTTTCCATTTAGAAGCATTTCCAGAAGCAAATGCGTGGGATCCATTTAGTTAACCTGGGACTTATAGTTGTGTCATATACAGACCTGTAGTTGCTGTCCTCCATGTCTCCTCCATCACTGGAACTGTGGCAGCCTCTAGTGTTTAAGCTGGGCAAAGGGAGAATATCAGATTATGACTGATTTCTTTAGATGTATGCAGAATTTAACAATAAATACTGAGTTTAATAAAAAATAATTAAAAAATATTAATTGGGTGGTTTGTGTCTAGGAAGCTAGAACTGTAGAGCAGAGGCAATTCATTGCCAGGTGATGCTATGCTTTTGCAAGGTAAAAGCAGAGAAAAGCCTACTGAGCGTTTGACGTCAGTGAGTGGGCACAGGCTGACAATTAGCGCAACACACTGAGTCAAGGTTCTTGTTTTCCAGGCTACATTTTTACAGATAACTTTCATAAAGTGTTCCAAGGTGGAAAGCTATAACCAGGCTACTGCACTGGGTGCTTGTATTCTTTGTTGTGTACCTTTTGGACTTGGTTTCTGACATTGGCAGTTGGGCAATGAGCACATTCAGCAGCTAGCTCCACCTGTCACACCTCAAAGAAACCTTCCTTGGTAAAGACACTGCTAGTTTTAAGACCACTTGGGAAACCTGTGCCAGTTCTTTCTGTGTTTCTGGTATCTGTAAAATAGGACCAATGTCCCTTTATTCCTTCAGCTGCGGACTTTCACTGTACTCTTTCACAGAGCTTTGCTGAGGTCCCTGATACATTCTGATGATGAGGGCATCCAGCATGCTCAGTGGCACACACCAAAGAGCTGTTTCTTGCAGATATGACTCTTGCATTCCCACAGATAAACAGCAGCCAGCATGACCTAAATATAGACGTATATATAGATTGAATAACATGAATCTCTTTCTGTGTGTGAATTATAGAAGATAGAAACCAATCAGTGGTTCTGACTCATACACATCATTGTTCAGAATGTAGATAAAAGTCAACTCTCCAGCACACATTCTGCTAGCCTTCATGACGTGTTCTGATATTTATAAGCCATTGCAGAGGGTTATGCATTTCTTCCCATTTGGATTTCCTATCTGCAAATTTGTTTATGTTAAATATCCCTTACAAATAAACTTTTTGTTTTCTCTTTGTAGGTAGTGCCTTCCTCAGTGCTGTGTTCTTGGCCCTAGCGACATACCAGTCACTCTACCCCATCACGTTGTTTGCTCCAGCACTCCTATACCTTCTGCAGGTAGGTGATTTCTAACTGTTGATCTCTGTTGTCTTACTGTAGGTGTGCAGCTGCAGTTCTTTGTGTTGGAAGGAGAGCCTTAGAAAAAGTAACTCCCTCCTCACACCATTGAGAGTTTAAGTTTAAAGTCTTAATGGGGATGCCCGTGTGTAGAGAAAAGGAAGTGGAAAGTAGTCTACAATTTGCCTGTGGCTTGCCTGAAATCTGTGCTACTCTTTGTGTCACGTGAATAGCAACAAGGATTTTTGGCCTGGAGAATTTCCTTGCATTTGAATGAAGAGTTGTGTGTTTAAAAAACTCAAACTCAGAAATTTTTCATTTAAGTCAAAAGATGTGCTTGTGCAAGCAGCTGGTTGTCCTTGTGCTTTCTTCCTCCCCAGTAACAGGGCTGAGGGTGAACTCTCACAGGGTTGACCTTGGTCACTTATGGGTGCACATCAGCTCAAAGACACTGCTCCAGGCACAGCCACTCAGCAGGAGATTGCTGGGTGCATCTGTAGGCATGGGCAGGGTATAAAGCTGAGGCAGCCATTAGCTAGCCAGTGGATCCATCTAACCAGTTTGCCTGCATGCTTCCCCAATCTCTCTCTTAGCTCTTTTGGTGATGTTGTAAACAATGAATTAACAGAGAGTCAGAATTAATGAACACTGATAATTTGCTGATTTGATCCTGATGTGGGGTTAAGGAGAGGCTGTAACTCCTAGCAGAGGACCTTTATCTCACATTCACAGATCACTTGGTGATCATTTTGATGATCTTTGCCATCTGGAAGTCCTGTTAAGTTAGTACCAGTCTTGGTACTTGATTTTTTTTAGCTAATCTTTATGAGTTCATCACAACATGTTCTGAAGTCTCTGAGCTTCAGAAAGGGGTGGAGGCTCAATTCTTGTTCGTTCTCTTTTCCTGACAATCTCTTACTTTTTTCAGGAATTTGATTTTTGCTACTCTTTGCAAGACTAGAATTTCAGCAGAACTGATGTTGCTTTTCAGTTAATTTTCAGGAGCATTTATTTTATATGTTGCTACCATTTTTTCTAAATTCATTGTGAACTGTGTTTCCTCATGGCAATAGAAAAGCACAAGTGTTGTGTCTGCAAGCAGTAACAAGTGCTTTGGTGTTTGAATGGGTGATTTGTGACTGACTTTAAAGGAGAGCAGGCTCGTGTGTGTTCTTTTATCTATATTTGTAAATGATGTTTTGTGAATTCTTTGTACAGAGTTAAATAGCTTTTCTCCAGCACTTTCCAATCTGTCCTGCCAAAAATCCTTGGTAAATTTGCTTAGATTGTTTCAGCAAATTGTGTTAAATGGACTCTAACTGAGGAAATAGAGCATGCTTTCCCCAGAGCCTGTGCCAGTTAGAGTTGGCCAGTGTATCTCCTGCCAGTGCAAACCCCAGTGCAATATGGAAAAGCAACATCAGTGCCTTGCAGGTGGAGAAAGCTGAGCTGTTCCCAAGGCATCTGCCCCTGTGTATATACTTGTCTTTATAAATGCAGCTGGGACTTTAGATCTTTTGGAGTGAGATACCTGTGTTTCATGTTGTGTGACAAGGGCTTGTTGCTGACCTTTCAGGGTATGTGGCAGTGGCAGGACTGTAGCAGTTGTCTTCAAGGAACAACCTTTTACAGCGGCTCTGTTGTGTATAGGAACCCATCAGCTCTCCTCTTTCCCTAATTTCAGCAGAACATGAGCACAGTCCATATGGTAGGAACTGACATCACAGAACAGTTAGTTGGTCATGGAGCATGCCTCTTGGTCACCTCAGTCAATGAAGGTTCATGGAGGAGAAACCTGGCAGTAGTACCATATTGTAGACATGTAAAAGCAGAAACTAAGCAGAAACTGCCAGGTTAGCCACTTGAATTTCAAGCACAGTTCTGGAAATAGGACTTAATTGAAGAGCACATTGTGCTTGAAAGCTGCTTGTCCCAGTGCAGCAGTGCTGGTGTTTGATGCTTTCTTCCATCAGTTTCAAATGACGTTCTGAACTCTTGGGCTTTCTTGGGACTTCCCAGCTGATGAGGATTATTTGCCTCCTTGTGTTTTGTTTTCAGCGTCAGTTCATACCAATAAAACCGAAAAGTAAAAGCTTCTGGCTCTTCACCATGCAGTATGCAGCCTTGTACCTGTGCAGCCTGGTGGTGATCATCTGCCTCTCTTTCTTCCTTCTCAACTCGTGGGATTTTATTCCATCTGTTTATGGGTTTATGTAAGTATAAGAATTCTCACTACTTTTATTTTGCTCCATGTGCATCACACTCATGTCCTGCTCCCTGCCCTAAGAAGTATGTGATCTGTGATTTTAGTGGCAACAGAAGAAAAGTATGTGTGGAAAAGGCCTAGCCAGATTCTGTTAATTGAGCAGCAGTAAGATTAGAGAAGATAGGAGATGTTTTCCACTGATTGGATTGGAAATGGATTTGATTATTGAGCTACTGTAGTTGTGGAGTTTTCATCTCTGGAGTAATGTCTGCTCAGGAGCGGTTTAAATCCTGCTGGGGCATAGGAAAGGGTTAATCCCTTTTGTGTCCAGATTTTCACCTCTTTGGTTTCTTTTCCACAGCTTTAAAATTTAGGTCCTCCTTTCAATACCACCCAACACTGAATTAATGTTACAGAAGCAGTTACATGGAGAACAGCCAATTAAAAATTATGTTTCTTTTCAATTTCAGCCTTTCTGTTCCAGATCTGACACCCAATATTGGCCTTTTCTGGTACTTCTTTGCAGAGATGTTTGAACACTTTAGTCTTTTCTTTGTATGTGTGTTTCAAATCAACGTGTTCTTCTACACCATTCCCTTGGCAGTAAAGCTAAAGTAAGTATGTTACTTCATTAGCTTTCTAATTCTCACAGTTGTGCAGTGGCTATAAGACTGACATCACAGTCTGAATCTATGCACATGAAAAGGTTGTTTTTTAATGGAGCCTATCTTCTTCATTTCCCAAAGTTTTACTCTTTCCCTCTTTCCCTCTAAAATATTATGCTGTGATGGAATGGAAGGGGAAAATACCCCTTGTTAAGCCGCGTATCAAGAGGAGTGATTGTGCTCATTAAACTCCATCTAGAATACAGCCTCTAGTTTTCAGCTTATCAGTAGAAGAAGAAATGTTGACAAGGTTGAGCAAGTCCAGTGAAGGACCACAAAGATGGTCAGTGGGCTGGAAGCTGGAGAGGAACTGAGGGACAGAGCTTCTTTAGTCTGCAGAATGAAAGTCTTAGGGAATGTCTGATAGCAGCCTTTCAATGCCTAAGAGGAGGTTTCCGAGAAGATAGAATCTTCTACAGAGGTGTACAGCAGAAGACAATGGTCATAAATTGAAAGAAGGGAGATTCCAACTGGATATAAGGAGAGCAGTTTATCACTTTGGCAGCAGTCACAGATTGGAGTAGGGACCTGTGGCTTGGAAACCCTCCTTGGGTTTCTCAGTCTCACTGAACAAAGGCCTAAACAGTCTGGCCTGAATTCAGCATTGACCTTGCTCTGAGAAGCAGGTTGGACTAAAAATACACAAAGTCCTCTTCTCACCTGAGCTGTGGCTGAGAAACCTACTATTGCTGTACCCTTGTACAGCCTTGGAAAGCCTCGTTACTGTCTTAGTAATATGCACTTAGATTTGGAGATGGAAATACCATTTTCCTGCAAGATATTTCTTAAACCATGTCAGGTGTCTGTGGAGACAGCAGTCACTCCTGCCCCTGCTGGAACCCCATCCTGCTCCATATGTGTGTGGAAAGTTAAAAGTAGCCCGTGGTCACAGGCAGTAACACATGACTTTCTCTTGCAAATTCAGCATAAGAAAATGCCTGCATATGGCCTGAAATCAAGATGCTTGGAGTGCTGTAGGGGAACTGGGGGGAGGGGGCTGTGTTTTCTAACAGGCTTCTGCAGCTGAGAAAGTGTGCACCCTCTTGTGCTGCTTCCCTGCAGAGCAACTCAGACTGTTCCACCCAGCACTGAGAGGCTTGCTTGCAGAGAACAACAGGGTCTTTAGAGCCTGGCCCACATTACAGTTGTGCCCCTGCTGATCTTTATTTCCATTCCAGAGAACCTACTGCATCCTTTTAACCTTTTTGTCTTTCTGTTCTAGGGAACACCCCGTGTTCTTCATGTTTGTCCAGCTTGCAATCATTTCTATCTTCAAGTCCTATCCCACAGTCGGAGATGTTGCACTGTATATGGCCTTCCTCCCAGTCTGGAGCCACCTTTACAGGTGTAAGTTCTTTGTGTTTGATTGTTCTCCTCCAGAATGGGAAGGTGTAACTGCCACCACTAACCAAATCCAAACCCATAAGCTCTTGTAGCCTCCTTGGGCTCTGTGATGGAAACCTTGATTGCTGATGATAAATTCTCTAATTTATGTTTGGGATTAGGGTTGAAAGAAGTCACAGTGGGAATTTTCACTTGTACATTACCTTCTCCTTCTCTCTAAGTTGTTCTGAATTAAGATATTTTTTGCAAGAACACTTACAGTCGTGTACAAAGGACGTGACTTGTGTAAAGTACATTCATGCTGCCCATACAAGGGTATGTAATTTGACTGCTGCTCCTGCAACTGATGAGTTCCCAGGCCTTACATACAGTCCCACACCTTGCAGCAGTTCTTTGGTTTCCATCTGCTTGTCTGCTTCAAGTGAAAGTAACTGAATTACTTCAGTTGGATTTGTCTTTTTTTTTTTTTTTAAGTTTCATGAGAAACCTTTTTATTTCAAGTCACCAGAGAGCTACCTGATGATTTTTAAACTCTGACTGTAGAACCTGCTGCAAGCCTACCAAGTGTAGTTCTTCTGCAGGCACTTTATAAATATGTTTTCCCGGTGTTGCTTGCCAAAGTCAGCTTAAACAAATAGCTTTCACCAGCACTGTCAGTCTGCCCTGGGCTTTTACTGCAGCCTTCTCTAACAAGGGTCAGGTTGGTGTAAGGCAGCCAGTCTGCCTGGAGGCAGGAGACATAATCAGGAGTCAAGAGACCACAGTAGTTTGGGTATATTGGGTTTTATGCTTGTCCTCTGTAGCATCAGTAGTAGGGAGTAAGTGGGGCATTGTCTGACTTGGAGACCATCCGCTCCATTGGTTTCAGACTAATGAAAGCTAAGGCCAAAGCAGCTGTAATAAATTAGGGCAGGAAGCCCCAGGCTAGCCCTGAGCATGTTGCAGCCATACGAGGTGGCACACTTCTGGGAAATCCTAATTCAGCTTAAGTGAGCTGCATGTTCCAAGCATATAGAAGAAGGGGAGTATGAGCATGAGAGGAGCAGTCACCTGTCGTGCTCCCACCCCACAGTGAGCGACTAGAAATGTGGAACAAGAAGTTTCAAGAGATAGATATGAACAGATTTGGGTGTGGCAGTGCTCATCAAATGTCAGATAGCTCCCTTCAGCTGCAGAATGATCGGGATAACTTCAGGAATGTTGGCTGAGCTATGGCCAAGCACAGCAAGACAATTGCCCAGGATAAACAATACAGAAAATAAAATCTCTTCTGGCTTAGAAGTTCCTAGCTCTTTTAGATGAAGTTGAGCTTGCTTGTTGGCCATTTGATACATACATCTTCATGCAGGCTAATGGATTCTGGCCACACTTCCACCTCCCAAAGGCTTCTCAGATCTATATGAATGTTTTCCTTGATGGTGTTTTAATTTCCTTACCATCTCCTGAAACAGTATGTCTTTTTCCTTTGGTCCATGGATTTGCTTTTTCTCTAGGTAGTCAGCTTGATGAGGCTAGGGATTGGCTTGCTCTGTTTTCTGAATCTTGATGCTGATGGGAAGACCCTTCTCTAAACTACTAGATGCTGTCTGTAGTGAAGACATGAAAAAAAGTCCTCAGTGGAAGAGCTGATCTTTGGAAGTGCAGAACCTAGAAGGCTACAAATGAAGGGGCCACAGTCAAGCAAATGCAGAATTGTTTATTTTAAAGAGAAAATACGCTGCATATCTTATAAAAGCTTTCCAGGGAGTTATCCAAACTGTAAAAGTTTGATTGTTGGAGAGAAGTGTGTTGGCAGGTGCCTCTCCCCACTGCAGATAGCCGGAATGCCCTTGCTTGTTGCATGAGCATGGCAGTTCAATAATGCATAATGTTAACAGCTTTTTTTTTTTCTTTTGCAGTCCTTCGGAACATCTTCATCCTATCATGTATGCTCATCGCCTGCTCCCTCCTGTTCCCCGTTTTGTGGCATCTCTGGATTTTTGCAGGAAGTGCCAATTCCAATTTTTATTACGCCATCACATTGACTTTCAACATAGGGCAGGTTAGTAGAGAGAAGGAAACCAGGGAATAATTCTGCAGGATGTGCCTGCTCTTTGCACCCCTTATAATCCTGAATAGCAGCTTCCTGTTTCTCTCTGTTCTAGCTGAAATCTGCCTAGTCGTCACCTTCTGGCACACTAACAGGAGAGAATTCGTGTGGTATTTACAGCTTAATGATCCAATTTACGCTGCAAGTTACATAATCCAATGCTTGATAGCAAAAGAAAAGCATTTCAGTATGGCAGGGTAAATAGCACTTGTAATGAAGAGAGTAGAGAAGGAAAAATGGAAAATAGTAGAGGGCAAAAGCAGTGGAGCCCCACAGCAGACAAATGAGAACTGCTCAAACACTGGGGCATGGCACTAGTTTTTCACCTCACTGAAATGTAGGGCTTTGGGTTTGTGCAGGGCCTCAGTCATGGCAGGGCTTGCTTTTCCTCCTTCTCTCAGGGCTGTGCCCTTCTAGTTGTGTGACTTCCACTGGCCTAGGGAAAACAGAGCTTAGCAATCCTGGAGGATGAGGTCTGATATACCCAGTTGCTATGACCTTTTCTAAGTCATTCCTCTTCTCTGCTAGTTGTTATGGGCTGCAGGTACTCCCCACGTCCTGGAACATTTTTACGTATGAATGAAGAGAATGTTCACTTCATTTTAAAGTTGTTTTTTTATGTACCCCAACCATTCACATTTATCTGTGTCTCTTATGTCTTCTAAAACTAAAGGTGCAGTTTTGCCAGAGACTGAAAATCCCCCAACCGCTTGATAAAGGGGAGTGAACGCTGTGCTGTAAAACTCTCTGTTCTGTAAAAGCAAAAAGAGTGAGTGGAGTGAGAACAGAGATCATAGAATCATAGAATGGCTTGGGTTGAAAAGGACCATGATGATCATCTAGTTTCAACTCCACTGCCAACAACTAGACCAGGCTACCCAGAACCACATCCAACCTGGAAGGTGGAGATGGAGATGCTAATAAGAAGGTCTCTTAGGAAACTGTAGTGGTTCATTATCTCTCTAGCCATATATCTTGCTGAGGAATGAAAGGAATGGTAAAATTTCCATGGCATTTGACCTAAAAAGATTGTATTTCCTACCTGAGAAAATCATAGCAGGTCCTGCAAGGTCTTGTGCTTTGTGCAAATGCAGACACAGCAGAAGTCTCTCTCATGATTTCCTTGTGAGAAAGAACTAGCCTTCATCCCTGCCAATTCCAGTTCCTTCCTTTCCCATTAAGACATCTGCAGAAATATTTAATTGAAAACAAAATCAACTGTATTAATAGAGCATCTCATGTAGTCAGTCATAGTGTAAAGCAGAACAAGCAGATAAAATAAGCACTGCTGTTCACCCTTTTCCGTGAGCACCACTACCCTTCTCTGTTCTCCTTCCAACTTCTCTGAGTCCAGCAGTGTGCAGCCCTTTTCTCTCCCTTGGATTTCACTCCATCCTCCATATCCTCCCTTTCTGCCACTGAACCTTAAAGAAGGCAGCTGCCTATAACAGTAGCTTGAGCAGTCTCTGGCTGGCAGCCAGGCTCTCTGCCTTCCTCCATCCTCTTAGTACTTCAGCATACTTCAGGTGAAGCTCTCCCCAGTGTGAGTTCCCCAGGTGTATGACTCTAAAGAAATGTGCTAATGGCATCTAGACGTGAGGACAGAAATTGGTTTGGCACTGAAAAGGTTTCCCTCTCTGGTTATGTGATGCTATTTTCAAATGGAGAGGAAGGGTTGCACTATAGGACACTGAATGACAAATGGCATTACTGATGCATCAGGTCAATTAGAATCATAAAATCCTAAAGGTCGGAAAAGACCTCTAAGATAATCTAGCCCAGGGTCAACCCACCCCTGCCATGCCCGCTAAGCCATGTCCCTCAGTGCCACATATACCCTTTTCTAGTAAACCTCCTGGGACAGCGATTCTACCACCTCCCTGGGCAGTCTGTTCCAATGTCTGACCACTCTTCCTGAATAAATTCTTCCAAATATCCAACCTGACCCTCCCCTGGTGCAACTAACTCATTACTTCTCATCCCATCACAAGTTACCTGGAGCAGAGGCCGACTCTCTCCTCACTACAACCTCTCCCCTGAGCCTCCTCTTCTCCAGACTGAACGATCCCAGCTCCCTCAGCTGCTCCCCAGAAGACTTTAGCTCCAGACCTTTCACAGCTTCGCTGCCTTTCTCTGGGCACACTCCAGGTTTTTCTTGCAGTGAAGAGCCCAACAGTGAGCGCAGTGCTCGAGTGTGGCCCCACTGGAGCTGAGTACAGAGGATTGATCACCTCCTGCTCCTGCTGGCTGTGCTATTTCTGACACAAGTCAGGATGCCATTGGCCTACTTGGCCACCTGGGCACGCTGCTGGCTCTTGTTCAGCCAGCTGACTGTGAGTACATGCAGGATTGTCTGCCTCACAGAGAGGACAGTACAGCAGAGGGGCAGAAAGTGGTGGAGCTGCTCTTAGCTAGTGATGCTCCTAGATACTGTTCCACAAAGTCGTAGCCTTGACTTTTCAGCTCTTCCCTTCAACCCTTAGCCTGGTGTAGATCATTAGACTATTAAAACTTCTGTTTGCTGAGGCTAACCTCTGAAGCTGTGGTATTTCTGCTGCTGTCTGGAAGGTTCTTACCCTTCCTGAGTAGAAATGGCAGCAGAAAAACAACCACAATTAAAAAGTACTTAATTGCAGTCTGCAGCAGGAGACTTGGAGCATTTCGGTTGAGCTGCATGACAGCATTTGCATGGAAGGAGTCCTGTGGTGAGGCCTGGGGGCAGTCTGTAAAGCTGCAGCACAGATGGACCTGCTTTTGTCATACATTTTGGACAGTTTATGGAACTACTCTCTCTGTAGATGAGGTATCTGTGAAAGCACACTAGTAGTAAAATAATTAGATAGATTAAAGTGGTTAAATTAAACTTGGTTTTGTGCAGTAAGGCAGTGGCTAAGGAGTGTTCACAGGATCACAGAGCCTTGTGATGAACAGCCTAGGAACTACTTAAACCCCTTTGTCACAAACATGTCCCCATTTGTCACATCACTGATGTGTCTGATCATCTCACTTCTGCAGATCCTGCTCATCTCGGATTACTTCTATGCCTTCCTCCGGCGGGAGTACTACCTCACTCATGGACTCCATCTGACAAGGCAAGATGGGACAGAGGCCATGCTTGTTTTGAAATAAGGGCTGAATCCACTGTTTTTTGGGCCATGGACTACTTTAAGGAACATGTGAAGCTCGGTGTTTATGGGGTGGGTGGGGAAGGTTTCCTGGATGAGGTCTGGCTTTGGGGATGATAACTACTGAAAGAATGGGCTGAGGTTCTTCTGGGAGTACCCTCTGCAGCAGTGGACACAGTGCAGGCTGAGTGCTGCAAGAGCTGAAGTAGAACCTGCACTGGAGAATCTCCCTTCAGCTGTGCTTTTCACTGAGACCTCAGCCATCAACTCTGGGCAGTCCAGCAGGAACTGGAGCAAGCATTTGTGGTAAAAACAGGGCTCAATCTCTGGACCAGAAACTGCTCAGACCATTAACTGTTTACTTTACGTCACTGCTTCTTGAAAATATTTGCTTCTCCTGGAAATTTCCCTGTCACAGCTTTTACTGGTAATGCTCCTGTTTGACATGAGAACATCTGGGTGCGTGTGTCAAAGGCCTGCCTGTTGTTGTGGGTTCTGGAAAAACCGTGTGCTCAGGCACAGGGGCAGGTTTTGAAGCAAGTAGGTGAGCAAGGGTGGATGAACTGTTGGAAAGAGGGGCTGCTGCTGTGGGAACTCTTGGCACTCACACCACTACTGAGAACTGGAACTAGAGGAAAGCAGGAGCACAGGGGGTAGTGTGTAAGTGTTCTATCCCTTTATGAATAGATGCTCCCTTGTGAGGAGCTGCAGAGAATCACAACAGGATCTCAGAGGAAGAAACACTACTGTGCAGATAGTCTCCTACTACTACAGTGTGGGTAGTGGTTAACTGCTCCATCCTGTTGAATGGCTGCTTCCTTGTGAGGAGCTGCACAGAAACATGGCAGGGTCTAGAAGAAGAAACGCTGCTGTGCGGGTAGCCTCCTACTGCTCCTTATTTCTGTGTGTTAACAAAGCTTGGCAATGCAGGGCTTGCACTACACTGTTGTGATAGCTTGGGGCAGCAGCACAGACGTGAAACGAGCAAGCTGCCTGCCTGGGCTGGGGACCAGGAGGTGTCAGAATCTCCCCACAGACCAAATTCAGAAGGTGCCTTGGACTCCACTGTTATGGAGTTGTTGGGCTCCAGGTGTTTCACAGCAGCTTAACGATACAGGATAGTCACTCTGCAGTGTTATAGTCTTGCACATACAGCGATGGCATCTTGTTGCTGTGTGTGGAAGGCTCTGTAACATGCTGTCCTTCAGCTCCCCTGCTGCTTTCCCTGTGTTCAGGCCTTTTCTCCAGAGCTTCTGCTGCTGCTGACCCCATGAATGTGACCCACCGAGGGAATTCCCAGGGCTCTGCGGGTTGCATGAGGCACTGGGAGTCATTAACCATAGTGTTGAAAGCCTTCTGCAGTGCTGGGGCTGGGAGCGGCTGCTGCTCCTCACTCATCCCAAGAAAAAAGTGGAAGGGCTGGTGGTTTGTCAGCATGGAAACAGAACTGTCTGGCCCGGTGAGCAATGGAGAGACCGACATGCCCAGGTCCTCCCCAGGCGGTTTTATGAACAAATCTTGTGGTTTTTTTTTTAACAGTTAAAAATTTTGCCTTACTGCACTGCTATTAGCGCTTTTGCCGGGGGTGTTACTGTGAGTCCAGCTCAGCCCACCCCATGCTGCAGCCCTGGGCCAGAGGTCACGAAGGCAGGGCTGCTCTGGGCTGCCCCATGTGGCATGGCAAAGAGCACAATAAACTGTGCAAGTTTTAAGAGTCATTTGTGTGCTCTGTGTTGAACAGGGGTGGAGGGAGGAGCGCAATCTGTCACCTGGCGTTCAGGGTGTGACCTGTGCTTTGGGGGAATCCCAGGGTTTGTTTTACTTTTGTACAGGGAGAGGAAAGTGCAGGGCACGTTGCCATTGCACTTTAAGGAGAAAAAATAGTCCCAAGCCAAGGGGCTAGGCTTAGTTAGAAAGTGACTAGCAGGCTCTGAGCAGCACCAGAGGGCAAACAGAAATGCAAAATGTAGCTGCTGGGAAATACGTGGAGGGCACTGGGAACACCGAAGCTGCAGATAGGTCTGCCCAGGAGATGCTCACAGCCCAGCTCAGGAAGCAGTCACCACCCAAAGGAGTGCAATCCCTGAGGCATCACCATGGGGTAACCAAGGGAGGCGTGGGGCTGCCAACTGCCACCAAACTGGGCTGACTCTGGTGTGTTGTGGCTATGGAGAGGAGAGGCAGAGGTAACTGCAAGTGTGTCTTCCATGCAGCACCCATTTTGCAGCTCCCTCCTTCCCCAAAATAGAAAATAAGTTCCTTGTTAGGAGGGAGGCAGTGCTGACTGCAGTGACAGGAGTGACAGAACAGCAGCTGAGAGCTGCAGGCAGCAGCTGAGCTTTGTGGCTGTGCCCAGGGCCCTGCTCCGGGGCTGGCTCCTGCTGGGTCTCCTGGGGGGCAGCTCCCAAATTTGCATACAAAAGCAGCCCAGAGCAGGGGTAATGGTGTACAGGATGGCACACGGTGAGTGAAACACACTGAGCATCCTTGCTGCTAAACAGAAAGGCATGCAAATGCTTGGTGGAGCTTCAGTATACATTTATGGCCTTTGGCAGAAAGGAAAATTGTGACAACTCATTCTGAAAGTCTTGAAAGATTTTACTCCCTTAAGGTCTTTTTTCTTAGAATTAAAGGGAGGCTCCTCATGTGAATGATCCCTAACAGCTGGCACTTGTACATCTCCATGGCAGGATGGGATCCTGCAGCACTGGGCTCAGTAGGTGCCCACAACATACATGCTGGTGTTACCGTGGAACCCAGGCAGGAGATGGGGCCAGAGACAAGGACAGAGACAGGATGGCCACTCTATGGGAACAGGCAGAGACCGGATGCCTTGTCCTGAGCTTTAATGATGTTCCTGGTACAGGGTGCCAGGTAAGCCTGTTGGAGCCACCAGGCCCCCCTGTCCTCCACAGCTCCCTGATGGTGGCCCAGTGCCAGCCATGCCATGTGCTGGGACACTCAGCTGGGACTCCTGTTGACAGAGCCTGATGGGATCATTGAGTGCCAAGTGAGGCAGCCGGGACCCATGGATCTGCAGTGGGTAAGGAAGCAAACCCTGAAATCCCTCCATAAAGCACTGTGGGACCAGGCACTGTGCAGCTAGGCAGAAAGAAGCCATCGTGCCATCCTGCTAACATGCAGGGTGCTTCCTTGCACCTTCATCTACCCTGTCTGATATTTGCATAAATGGAAAGTCCTTCTACAGCACAGGCTGTTTGGGAACATGGGTATTGGGTCAGTGGCAGGAGGAGGCCACCACAGTTTCACTGCAGTCTCTCACTGTTCTGCAGCAGCCCCATGCCAGGGATGCCACAGCCCGGTGTTTCCCTCTTTCTGCAGCCATCAAGCCCAGCTCTCATGGATCACCAGTTCTCCCAGCTGCCCAGCCACTGAGTGCAGCCCAAGGCCATGCATCCCACAGCAGGGCAGAGTGCCCTGTGCTGCCCTGCAGCTGCGCCATCCCTGGAGTGCTGTGTTGACACAACACAGCTATTGCAACAGTTGTGTTGCAAAGAGCAACACTGAGCACAACCGGTTTGTTGATCCTAAAACAAGGAATCCTCATGCTGTTGGTGGTCAATTGAGCCCACATGGTGGCCAGGGTGAAGAGGCAGTGACAGGCACTGGGCTGGTGGCAGCGGGCACCTGCCCACTCATTCCAGCTCCACGACGCTGCAGGGCTCCACACCCAACTCTGCGTCACACTGACACACTGGTGGAGGCACCAGGGGCTGGGGAGGGGCCAGAGCAGGTGAACATTAACCTTGGGCAGTGGTGAGGTGTCCCCAGCAGCGCAGCACCCAGGAGCACACAGGATGAGGGGACTCCGTGCCCACTACCACCTCCTGGTAGGTCTGACCCCGAGGGCACTCGCGTGGGGCTGAAACACATGGTTGGGCATTGCAGGGCCACTCCTACTTCTTCCCCTTGTCCCCTGATCCCCTGGGGTATTTTCTGCCTGCTCCCACTGTAGGGAGCCTGGAGCAGCTGCTTGCTTCTGCCCTGCTGCCCTCCTACATTCAAACGGGGCATGGACTGTGCACACAGCTGTGGATGGTCGAGGCTCATCACCAGCTGCAGCCTGGCCCGAGGTGCATCTGTGTCCTGGTGTGCAGGGCCAGGGTAGGGAAAGATGCAACTGAGATTGACTGCAGTGAACCGTTCCACTGGGACTGAGCTTGGAGACTGTGGAAGCCTCTGCTGCCTCCTCTTCCTCCTCCTTTCCCCATCTCCTCCCTGGGCAACCCGCACCCTTGAACTTCTGTGCCATGGTGGCACTGCCAGGCAGGGTGCCAGGGCACGCCATGGAATGGCAGCGTGTGCTGGGAGCGGTGCAGGAGGCTCAGCCAATCACTCACCCCTGGGGCCCCAGGTCTGCGTGATCTTCAAGCCCCTTCACCCAGCCCCTGTCCTCTGCACGGGGTGGGAGAGCCCCATGTGGTACAGGTTTGGGGATGCTGCCTCGTGGTGTTCCAGGGGAGTAATCAACTCCATCCACCCCCAGCCTGACCAGGACGAGGACCTGCCCACAGAATGCACGGAGCCGGACAGTGAGGGGCAGCCAGGCTGGGAGGGCGCCCCGGTGACACCCCCAGCCCCAGAGGAGCCATGCAGGCTGGTGCTGAGCACACCAAGCAGCATCCTGCAGGAAAGGGAGATTGAGGAGGTGAGGGGTCCTTGCACACCAGGAACTGGTTCAGCATAAGGCTGATGGGTGACATGCCCTCTATCCCCAGGGATAGAGGCAGCCAGCAGGGCTGGCACTGCCAGAGCACTTGGTGCCAAGCACTTGGAGCCCCACGAGTGTTCCAGCACGGTGCATCCATTATCATTCCCGTGCATGGTTTCCTGCATAGTTTTCCTGAGGGCAAAAGAGGGGCACACATGGATGGCCCATGAACTGCAGTTCCCCGAGAACCCAGTGAGGGGAGCCTTCGGGTGACAGCCTTGGAGGTGTGAGGCCCTGCACCCCCCCAGTGTGTCGAGGTGTAGCTCATCCTGAGCCAGGATGAGCTGCCTGGTCTGCTCCTCCCTGAGCTTGTTCTCTGGCCTACTGCAGGGGGGGCTCAGGGTGGGGATGTTTGCAGAAACCTTGGGAGGATACTGGAGGCTGGGAGGATGGTCAGAAGGACCTCTTGGGAACAAATGCTCTGGGAGTTGTCTGGGGAGCGTGGCTGGTGTTGAGAGAACACTCAGGGACACCTTTTGGGCACATGTGTGGGGGCGAAGATGCTACAGGGTAAGACCGCTTTGTGGGGGGAGGATGCTGGGGGTGAGGGTGGTGGGGTTCATTCCAGCTGGGTAGGAGGTGGATGGGAGCATTTGCAGCCCTGCCCTCCTGCTGCAGGTGGGCAGGGAGGGTTGGGGAAGCAGGGCCAGAGGACAAACAGTGGCTGCTGCCCAGGCCAGGACTCCTGCAAACAGCAGCGTGCAGCAGGGAGCTGCCTGCCAGCCCCTCTGAGCCCTCTCTGCCCCAGCTGGGCCCCCACCTGCCCACCCGGCTGCGGCAGCAGCCCTGGAGCCTGCTGTACTGCACTGCGCGGGATGGCTTCAGCCTGAGGACCCTGTACCGGTGCACCGGCCGGCTGAGCTCCCCAGCACTGCTGCTCATCCGTGACACCGAGGCTCAGGTACGGCTGGGACCTGTCCCCTGGTAGCACCAAAAGTGGCTTCACCTGTGCCTGATGCTGTCCTTGTTGTTGCTCACTGGATGGGAATGTGCCAGGTGCTCCCAGTGCAGTTCGTGACCCCACAGCGCTGGCATCTCTCTCCTCTCCCTTTGCCAGGTCTTTGGTGCCTTCTCCACCAGCCCCATTCATGTGAGCAATGGCTTTTATGGCACAGGGGAGACATTCCTCTTCTCCTTCTCCCCGGAGCTAAAGGTAAGGGCTGTGGGACCAGAGGAAAGGGGAATCCCGGGGACCAGCAATGCTCCACGGCCTGCCCTGCTGGAAGGACCCAGACGTACTGCAGGGTCTGGGGAATGGTCCAGGGTAATGCAGCTGCACTTGTCTGTCCACAAGCAAAGCTGCTACACCAGCTTGCCCCAGGTGCCAACCAATATGAAGGTCCGTGTGTCCCAGTGGGACTGGTGGCATCAGCAGATGGCAGCTGTTCCCCAGAGGGGGCAGGACAGCAGCAAAATGGCACCCACACCTCAGGCAGGCCTTTCTATGCACTCTGAGGCTTCAAGCCATGACCGACGGGTGCAGAGCCCTTCGTGTGGGCAGGACAGGGGCAGGACGGGGACAAGCCCACATGACTGCCGTCCCCACAGGTGTTCAGGTGGACGGGCAGAAACAGCTTCTTCCTGAAGGGAGACACGGACCTGCTGATGGTCGGTGGGGGCAGGTAAGGGCAGCCACAGAGCTCACATGGCCGAGCAGGCTCAACAGGAGGGTCCCGACTGAGCACGGCCTCCGCATGTCCCAGCGGCAAGTTTGGGCTGTGGCTGGACGGGGATCTGCACCACGGTGGGAGCTGCCCCTGTGAGACCTTCAACAACGAGTGCCTCTCACCGCGGGGGGAGTTCTGCATCCGGGACCTGGAGGTGTGGGGCCTGGCCTGACGGGCAGCAGTGCCACAGGACGCACCTGAAGCTACGGCTCTCGGAGCCGATCGCCGCTGTGCCCCGTCCTGCAGGCGCTGGGAAGGGCGGTGCGGACAGAACCCTGCGGGATGCCGGCCCTACAGAAGGAGCTGTGGTGCACACAGTGCCCTGCAGGCCCAGCCCTGCCTGCAGCACCTGAGGCGCAGCCTGGCAGAGATGGGCGCAGCCCCGCCAGAAGGGCACGAGTCAGGAGCCACGTGTGTCCTGGGGGAGAGGTGAGCACCTGGGGCGGCCCTGTCCCACCAGCTGCTGCCCTCAGGACAGCGGGAACAGGGCTGGTGTGGGACAGCTGCTGGCCACCAATAAATGGGAAGAGCTGTGCTCTGAGCCTCGTCCTTATTGCCAAAACAACAGTGCCACAAAGCGATATACAGAAAGCAGTGCGAGTCCCTGCCCAGGAGCCCAGAGCCGAACCCTCAGCCTGGTGCAGAGCAGAGCAATGGGGGACGGCCTCTGGTGCTGCATCCACACACAGAGCCGCCCCCCAGCACTCAGACAGCATGCACAGCCCTTTCCCACCGCACAAATCCTTCCTGCTTTGGCCCCTCACACCTCTTTTGTGACACCTGACATTCCTTTGACTTTTCTGGGGGGAGGATTGTGGCTGGGCACAGGCTGGAGCACCAACGATCACCCCATGCTTTCACAGTGTTAGCTTCAGGTTGTTGGCAATATCCAAATAATTTATCAGTACGGTATCTCTGATAAAGCAGATTTTATTGCAATTGCAACGGTGGGCCTCCAGCAAGCAGGAGAGCACCCAGAAAACAGCATTACATCTTTTATTCCCTATTGCCCAACGCTTATCTCTTTATCCCCTAGTTCCTCTTTGGCTGAGTACTTTAGGTTCACAATCCTCTCAATGCTTCACTAACCATGCAAATACTGGACAAACATAAATCTTCGCTGGCTAAGTGTAAATCTCGAATTAATTAATTAACTTCTTACCCTTACTGCACACTTGCTCATCATTTCTGGATATCTGCTTGTCCTCCCTTGCACAGAGATAAGCTTGGGAGGAGGACAGAGGGGAGTATCTCGGTGTCTGCCTGTCACACCCCAGCCTTCTCACGGAGTGAGCCACTCTGGCCTTGTGTAGAGGCCCGAGCTTCTTTCATGTCTGTTAAATCTGTTTTTCTTTTGCTGTGAGTTTCTTATCCTAACAGAACAACCCTACAGTATGTTTTCTAATCCCTAACACTATACCCACATTGTTTGGAACATTTAACAACTATTGAAGTTTTGCAAGAAAGAATTAATCACATAATTCAGTAATTATGTTTTTAAAACATGCTGCAAACATATACAGTATTTCTACTTTTTAGATAACTATTTCTAAGGATGTTACAGAATACAAATACATTATGTTCTACTTCTTCAAACCAATTGCCCTTTTTAATATCGAATTCCATTCCCACACCTGTAATGTGATGGAGGTTGGATCCCACCCATCACCCAGACTGCATTGCTTTACTTTATCCTGTACTCATCTGCAATGAACTTCACCAGAGTCTTTGGTCTCCCATGGCTGAAGATACAAGTGAGGAGTTCTGAATCCCCATGAAATAAAACAGCCCATTGCTTAAAACTCCCTGTTGCTCTGATGGGCTCATGTCCAAGTGATGAATTTTAGTAAAGCTACCAACCAGCCCAGAGGTGCTGGGGCTTGGTGGCAACAACTGCTTTTTTCCAAGTTCTGCAGGACGCTCTGTGGCTCCAGCTGCCTGTGCTTGGCCTGGTCCTGCAGAGCTGTTTATCCCCTTTACACAGGCACAGACCTTACAAATGTGCCCAAGAAGCCCAAGGCCCCTCCTTGCCCTGCCCCAGTGCCCACCCATAGCTTGGCTCACGGTGCCCTCATGTGCCCTCATGTTCTCCTGTGCAGGGAAAGCTCTGGACTTCCACACTGGGAGGTCACCACCACCATGACACGTGGGCACCATGGGGATGCTGGGGCATCTCTCAGCAGAACGCCCAGTCAGTGCCATCGGATTCTGCTTGCATCAAGCAGGACTGGTCCTGGCTGGGCTCGGCCATGAAACGTCCTGCAGAGGGAGCCAGCTCCAGCTGCTCTGCGTCCCTTCGCTTTGGAGGGGCCGACCATCCCCTTGCCCACCTTTCCTCGGGAGCTCGGGGCAATGGCCAACCGCGACTGCTTTAGGTCTGCTGGGAGGGTGGGCGAGGGAAGCTGCATAGTGTCACAGTATTCCAACAGAAAGTGAGAGGGAGGAGAGGTCTTCTGTGAATTTTTGAGTCCAACAGCATGAGAATTTCACCTGTCAGCTCCACCCGCACAGACTGACCAAAGTGCCCTTTGATCCCCCTGACTCACCCGCTCCAGGCTGAGTGATACAGACCCTGCAGGCAGCAAGGTACGGCAGCTGTGAACGTGAACCAGCCCCAGAAAGAGCTGCTGGGAGGGATAGGAGTCCAAATGGAACACGCCTATTAAGGAGGGTGGGGGTGGCTGCAGAGGAGATGGGGATGGCTGATAGCTGATAGACCTTTACAAAGGGCACATTTGCCTTCAGCAGTTCAAAGCCTTAGTTCTTGATCCTTGTGCTTCTGCATCACAGTGTGAAGCAGTGGGCAGGGACACCGCACAGCACCTGCAGCCTGGCTGCTGTCTGACCAGCAACGTTTTCCCTGCTCCCATCCTTTCCTTACACCAGGATCCCAGGCTGAGTTTCTAGTTCATCTCTCAAAAGGAAATAGAAGCAACTGCTTAACCAACGATTTCAGGATGTTCCATCATTTACTGACAGTGATACAATCCCCTGGACTCTGTGGCAGGAAGACCATCCCAGCATTTCCTCGTAGGAAAGATGCTCCCATCCTCCCAGCAGCTTGGCAGCTGTTCCCTGCGACCAATTCTGTGTTACTGGGGAGCCCACACCTGGGCACTGTGGCCTCACCAGGGCCTTTTCTGCAGTGGCCTTCCAGATGGGCGCTCCCTGCATGCCCTGGTACCTCCTGTTGTTCTTCCCCAGAGGCAGGACTAAGCACCTCCCCTTGTTAAAATCCATGAGCTGCCCATCATCCATTTCCCCAGCCTGCCTAGGACCCTCTGGATGGCTGCATGGCCTTCAGCTGCATCAGCTGCTCCTCTCACACACTCATGAGGGGAAGCTCAGCCCCATCACCCAGATCATTCATGAGGCAGGGATACAGGCCTGGACCCACTACTGACCTCCTAGCATGAACCACAGGATGGCTGTGATTGTCCCAGCTTCATTTGGCTGTTCAGCCCTGCACAGTGTGACTACTGGTTTTAACAAAGTTCACATACTGCAATTCATTGCAAGAATATTAAAATCATTGTTTATTAATTTATTTTTTAGCACAGAAAGACTCAGATTACGTCTGAGAAAAAGAATTTCAACTCTACCAGATGTTAAGTTCTAAGTACAAAGTTTTTGCTTAATTTTGAGCAGAAAGCTTTTCCCAAATATAAAGTGCACCTTCTATAACAGCATCAAAACAAACCCAAGGAATAGTGATAGAATTACATTATTCTGGAACAGGACTTGATTTGGGAATATTTGTAGATAATGGGGATAAATGCCTTCACTCTATAATATTATTCCTTGAACCATAGAACAAGTACTCCAAAAGCTTCTATAAAGGTCCCTCCACCTTCCAGCAGTAACCTGGTACACTGCAGGTGTGAAATGCTATAAACAGGAACAGCAGAGGCGGTGCTGCATCACCATGAAACACAGGTTCACAAGCAGCTGAGCGCAGAACAACAACTGGCTGTTTCAGACCACATCTGTAAAGCAGGTGAATACCTCTTCTTATGTCACAGCCATCAGCTTCCAGCCCAAGGAAACAATCAGACAGGGAAAGAGTGACACCATCTTCTTACACAGCAACCTCTTGTGTTAGTTTCAAAAGCTTGGCTGTCAAGACTGAATGCTAAGCTTCTATATTCTCGCTTCAGATACAAAAATCCAAAGCTCTCTTCCAATTTCTGAGCATTAAAGAACACTTTACTTTGTAGTTTTGAGGGTGGGTTTTTATTAACTAACTTCATTTAATGAAAGCAGCCTTCAAAGAGAACACCTTAGACCTGAGTATAACAGGGAAAAAGTCTTCCTTGTTTGCTTTTTGATGGGACAGACACCTAGGAACACTCACACTAGTACTGCCCATAGGGGAGACTGTAAGAACCCTTATTGTCTATAAGGGAGATAAAAAATACACCAGAACAGCAATCATCAAGCCAGAAAAACAACGGACGGGATGCAATCATGGAAGGGTTCCTGAAGAACCTGAGCACCCAGTGCAGTGAAATGCAGAAACAGCGTGTGCTGGGTACAAGGAAAAGCAGAGCCACGTGCTGGGCCCACCACTACACTGAGAACCAGGCATGTAGCTCTGCTTTCCTGCAAGCACCCCAACCACGGAGCTTTTGAGGAGTTTTTGCAGTTCAGTGTAGCAGTTAAAAAAAAAAGTTACATTCAATGTATCAAAAATATATGCTATAAAAACAGTAAAACGCTGCATGTCACTGCAGGGCAGTGCCACTTCAATAAAAGTTGTGTGGTCACTTTCGTAGCAAGAGGCCTGCATCCCCATCAGCCTTCTGAACACCAGAGCAGCCATCTTGAATAAAAAGATCATTACGGAAAACAAGAGGTGGTGGAATAATAAAGATTAAAAGAGAAGGAAGTTTTTCCACCAGCTCTAACAATGCTGCAATTGCCTTCAGAAAGGATCAGGATCAGGGCAAGCAGTATCAAATCTACTGCACTTTTTGGCCATTATGATGAAAGGTTTTTTTTAAATGAAGTTCCTCTTGCTACAATAGCACCAATACATTCAAAAATAAATGAGAACTGAGCTTGCTTTGCTGTAACAGGTTATCTGTTAGCTTTGTAGCAGTTCAATCCAAATAAGCACTTAGTTTAAGTCCACACATAAAAGCATATGGTATTGTAAAATGCACTGCTGCATTCCTTTTTTTTTTTTTTTTTTTTCTTTTCTACAGTTCATTGGATTGCATTTTAAAAGAGCTGCTGCTCACAGCTACCCATCTTCTGAAGGAGGTGGTTGAACAGTGCAAAAGGAGATGCATTACTTATTGAAAGAAAGCTTCTGCTTGCAGCTGGGTTCTGAAGCTGTCACGTATTCATCCCTGCTTCTGCTATTCCAGCTTTGTTTCAGTGGAGTTAGATGAGGGGCAACCACATCACCATCCTGTTATTGAAAGTCAGAGAGCATTCATGACAATGTGTTCATTTTCACTTGCTATGCTAAAGCAGGGAAAAGCAGCTCGCTACCAGACTTAGCACAGATAAACACAAGGTCCCACAGGCACTGCACATCAGTGAGTCTGGAAAACACTGCACTGCAGAGATGGAAACTGCTGTCAGTCAGCGGTAGGGAGGAACAATTCCCCACTTATGTGAGAAACCTTCACTATTTGTATTTAACGTCTTCCTAAATTGACAGCAGCAAATTCAGGAAGCTCAAGAGGCTTCTATTATGGGCACTGGTACACAGCT